TTGGAGTTCGGGGCGCTTGCTTGGTGACTGCAGCTGGCGATCAGCTCAAGGAAGCACCTGCAAGGTTTTGGGATGTTTTGGGTAGACATAACAGTGGGGGAGAATACTCAGGTGATCCCTGTCATTCCCATACTAGTGGTTGGGGGTCGATTGCTGATTGCCGTCCCAAGTTCTGTGTGGCATCGCTCTCCCTCTCAGCGAGTTCTTCCTGCTGGCGCTTTGGTCAAGCCGGCGCTGGCGGTCGTGGCTGGAGTGATTCCTGGAAACCCCCCTTCTCTGGCAACTCCGGAGTGGAGGGTAAAGGTTTGGGTTGCCTACGCTTCTCCGCAGCTACAATCCCAGGTCAGGGCCGAGGATGTCTTCGAGCCGGCTTTCAGCGACTGACGGCTTCTCGCGCCTCTCGATGAGAGGCGAACCCGGCAAAGACCGAGTTCCCGAACCCGGTGCCCAGCTCAACGAATGGCTTGATATCACGGTAGCGGGTGAAGACCTGAACGGGCCCTCGGAAGACGTTGCCCCGTTGTCCCGCACCAGCACGTAGACCCTCTTTGGCAAGCCCACCTGATTCTGACCGGAGCTTCCCCTGTTTGTGCCCTCCATGCAATGAACAAAGAAATCACCAGTGCAGCGCGCAAGCTCCAGCCGCCGATCCCAGGAAAGAGAGCCGTGGCTTTCCGCTGGCTCCTCAGGAGCCTCCACAACTCGATGCCCAAAGGTAGTAGATGCAGAGGATGGTTCCTCCGAAGGTGCCGCAGGAGTGCGACGGACCTCCAGTTCGAGAGTCAAGCAATCAATCTGAGCCTGGAGATCCGCAATGCTCATTCAAGGATCTTGTAAAGAGAATCGGGACCACCCCGAAGCCTGGTTTTGATGCAAGCTCGGACGTAGGCCCTTCAAAGAAAGAAGAGCTCAAGCAAGGGGTACGGGTACAACACCAGGCCAATAGTTATGCCCAAGACCAAGGAAATCAAATCCAAATGAAAGCCAGCGACGTGCAGTGAAGGAAAGGTTTCCAGTGAAGGGCAGGACAGATCCAGAGGTGCAGGCCGCAAAAGCTGTCAGCTTAAGGCCACGATAAGAGCTCCGACTGAGCCCGAAGCCGCCGCAGGCGCAAGGCTATGGCTAGCCTCCATCAAACAGCGCTCGAGAGCGAAAGCTGCGCGGCAAGGTCACGTTAACATGTTTGACATTGATATTGGCATTAGTTTTGACAATAGTAATAACCGAGAGTCGAATGTGAATATCGGTATCAGTACTGGTACTAGTTGTAGGATCATTCTGAAACGTCATATGAACTATGGTCAATGTTTCCCACATACTGTAATTAACCTACACGAGTTCCTATTCAGGAATAGGTTAGGTTAGGGACTACACTAAACTACGACAGGGACCCCATGCCCCAATTTTGACAGAAGCTCATATTGCATTAGCAATAAGATCGAGATTCGTTTTGGCACTATGTAGCTACAACGGTGGTATTGTTACTACAAACGTTCGTATTCACATTGCACTCCCTTCCCTTTCGTAAGACACGGCCGAAGATGGCAACATGTAGCGTCTTACTAAGCTGGACAGGATTTTCCAGGTTTCGCTTCTTGCCGCGCTCTGAAAAAGTTTCATCAGCCAGCCCCGTAAGACCCCACTTGCAACACACAGAGGAACGGTCCAAAAGAGAAGAAGCAGCTTCTAAGTCTTGATAAGATCTGCCAGGCCTTGACTCCCATTAACGGTTGGGGGCGTGGCTCCAACCCCTGTTGTTCAACATGAATCCAAATAGATTCTCGCTTAGTCCGTATAGGATACGACTGCGAGAGGGTTGATACCACGGATTGTGTTTTACAACTCAACAATTGCGGGCTTTGCGCGGGAACGTACTCTGCTGCTGCTTGCTTAGACCTGATAGGAATTCGGCATAGCAACTTGGTGGGGAATGGCGGTGAATGTGGTACTCGTGGTACTAATGAATTGGGGACCCAGACCCATGAAGAATCTGGCTGCGGTCGAAGAGTCATACGAGTACGAATGCTGATACTGCTTCCAGCAGCAACACATCACTAATTCCGACACGGATGCCAATGCTTACACACACTGCGACTAATGCTTATGCTAATTCTCATACTGGTACTAACATAAATACTAGTACTGTTTCTGAATACTTTTCTGGTTGAACTCCCGACGTTCCAGCGCAAAGCCCCCGCTTACAGGCAAAGGACTTGGTGAATAGGGTATAGAGGGGATTTAGAAGCAGACTGACTGAAATGGGGATTTCTAACCCCAGTTTGATATAACCTACTTACAAAACAAAATCCCCTGGGCCTCCAAGTGCACCTTTTCAACCATGCAGCTTACCAATGCTTGATGGTCAAAATCGAGCCGAGCTGTAAGTCTTAAGTACGTTGCACCTCAGCACCTCTGTTGCTGTAGTGTACGACGGACATGCAGGGACTTTAGTAACTTTAGTATCAAGAAGACGCCCCCGTTGTCCCAACAGCAGCTCCTGAGTTTGAATACTGCATAAGATTGCTTTTCGACAGGCATTCCCGAGCACGCAGGGTGACAGCCTGTCCTAGACTCAATGCCCGCTTTTTTCCACGTCCCCTTCAGAAAATATTTGGACTTGGGCAAACTGATACTGCCGAATCTTCATCGAAGAAACTGAAATCCATAGCTTAGGCATCGAAGGCGGCTCAAATGCGAGCTCGCCATGTTTCCCGCCAGCTTACAGAGAGCTGTTACAGAACTCGAAGGCAAGTTGCAAGGCGGTAGAAGTCGGCAAAGTCTGCGCCATGTTCCTTGTCAATGTTCATGTGCTCGCACATGACCTGTTCAAAACCACAAGCAGGGAGAACCGCCAGGGGCAAACGAACAGGAGACACGGAGAAGGGAAATCACTGAAAAGTTGACGCCTCGTATTCCACTTGCCACTCGTCATCGAAGCCACACAACTCAGCAAATCTGCGCATTTCTGAAGCATTCAAGAAGCCGTCTCCGTCCACGTCCATGCTGCCGAAGATAAACTTGACAACATCTTTTCGCTCCTGCATTGCCTGCGATGACTTGCTCAAATCATGTTGCAACCCAGATGCTGTTGAGCATCATAAATTGGTGTGGCCTTGAGCCTCCTTTCCTGCTTCGATCCAAGACTCAGCACAGTCAACTTGGGCCGAGGTGTGTTTATAACCTACCGCAAGCTCCCTAAGCTCATCACACAAAACTCAGAAACATGCCTAGGTCACAGGCGTTTGTTGCTCTTCGCGTTGACCTTCATTCTGCTGGCGCGTGATGCACACCAGATCCTTCAGCTCTTCTGTGGTGCAGTACGTCGGGAGGGCCTCACAAGACTGCGAAATACTGCGAACAACCCATGCAAACACCCTGCGGCAACTGGGGCCTCGTTCGAAAGCAGCTGCACAAAGTCTGTCTGTCGGAAACCAACATCAGGCAAAGTGCCGCACAGCTTACACAATGCCTGGACGGCAGCGAATTCCTCTTTCCAATTTTGCAAAGCAAGCTGCTGATGTCTCCGGCCTGGTACTCAGCTTCCCACCTACAGCCAACACAAATTGCTTCCGCATGGCTCTGCCGCAGCTTGCTAAGGTCACGGCTTGACGGCCTGCTGAAAGCCGCATGAAATCGCGAAAGCATGAAGTGCCCCTGACCTTGGCTTTCTATCTCTGCACTCCTGCGGCATTGCTTGGCCCGCGATTCGCACCACAATCAGCTCCCTCGTGCCTCAGCAAGCCCTCCCCTGACGCATCCAGCAAGTAGAAGAGTTCCTCCAATAGAATGGCCCGGCGGGCCTCGGGAGTCTTAGAAGCGTAGATGCAGCACATCGACCATGTGCCAAGCTCCCGACATGGTCCCCCTCGCTGCCGCTGGACCCGGAGTCCTGCCAAAAAAAACATTGGCACCCTGAGGGCACACTGCAAATCTGCATCTGCTAAGAAATCTGCTCAGCCGTGTCCGTGTGCCTCGGCATCAGAGGCCAACTCAAGGTTGGCGTCCAGCGCCTTTTTTTTGCAGAAAGATCCTTATTTCAAACATCTCCAATCATCTCTTGTCTTCTTGCCGAGCCTTGACCAGTTGACCATCCGTCAAGCAGACTTCATACGCGGTGACAGAGGGACGGTGAGCATTCTCAAGTCGTTTTAGAACTTCACCCCTGGATCCAGGATGATTCAGGAGTACTCTCAACTTCTCTGAAACTCTAAGCCTTCTGTTGTTGAAAAACTCGTTGGCGCGCAAGCTGTGCAGGATTACACGGCTTCCAGGTTGGAATCTTTCCTTGCCCGCAGGTGTCATGTTGCCTTGGTCTTGCAATTTAAGGTCTCTCTCTTTCCCTCTCTTTTGCATGTCATGTCAAGGCAAGCACAGCAACAAAACCTTCTACAGAAATTAGCATTTATGTTGTTATGGCATCGGGACAGCTGCTGCGATGTATGCTGCAATATGCGCTGCGATACATGCTGCAATATATGCTGCGAGCTATGCTGCCAGATATGCTGCGATATGCTGCGACAGCGAGTTGCAAGAGCCAGGCCAAGTCGAAGCCAAGCACGCGAAGCACGCGAAGCACGCGGGGAGGCAAAGCCATGGCCAAGTACTTCCATTTGCACTTTCATTTGCTTGCTTTTGCTTACTTCATTGTCACCTGAACCTACCTGGATAGCGTCAGAATGCTTCAGCCTGTCTTGCGCTATCCTGCACTCTTACCTGTATGTCTCTCAATGCCTACTGCTAGTAGCTGCCAGTAGCTTGAAAGGAAGCCTCCGCGGCAAAACGCATCTGGAGAAACAGCTCTGTCGAGACCTAGCTTTCTGCCTCAAACACACTGCAATAAGATTTTCGATGCTTGGCGTTTGCCGTGCAAATTTACACACACTGGCTCACTAGCTACTCACACCTCAGAACGAAACAGCGTGGGTGGCCATGGGCCTCGGCACATGAGCACAACAAGCTACGTGCATGACGCCAACATGCGGAAGTGAGGGTCGCACGCATCACCGCCGACGGCGACCTCTTGAGCGAGAACGGGAGCGGGACCGCCTCCTCCGCTTGCGGGAGGATGACGAGGACGAGGACGAAGAAGACTTACGCCGCGAGCGCGACTTCCTCTTGTCCTTCTTGCCTCCACCACTCTCGTTGGCGTCGCTCGGCTTCTGGACTTTTGTCACTGCTGTTCCCGCTGAACTTTTTGCAGCATCATCCTTGGACGTTCCATTGTTGTCTCCAGTGCGCGAGGCCCGAGCAGTGCCAGGCCCTGAACTGCTGGTGGACGTCCGGGCATCGTCACCACTGGGCTTTTGACCTCCTGCGCCCGACTTGTACACACTGTTTGCCTCTGGTTTGTTCTTCTTCTCATCAAACCCAAGCTCAAATGTGACAACGTCACCGACGGCTAGTTCGCCGGTGTTCATGAGCGCTTTTGCATGGACGATGACCTCACCGTGAGTCTGTGACCGCAGAATTCCAAAACCTCTAATGCCGCTCCAGTGGATCACAACACCCATGGCTGTGTTTGAGCCTTTCTCTGAAGTCTTCTTGTCCTCTTTCCTTTCTCTTTTCTCCTCCGGGCCAGGTGCTGGCTCGAAGCTCTTCATCTCTAACGACATAGTGATCTCTTCAGCTGCAGCAGTTGCAGCCTTCATACGTCTGGCTTTCTGCTCTTCAGACACCTGTCCAAGAGCGCCTCCCTGCAGCGCCTGGAGCTTCTGCAGAGTCTCCTGCATTCGCGGGTCCATTCTGTCAGTGTTCGGTGGAGGGCCAGGCCAAGTCAAAGGAGCCTGCGACTTCTGCTGGGCTGCTTGAGCTTTGGTCGCCGGGGGTGCTTGGGGTGCTTGGGGTGCTTGGGGTGCTTGGAGCGCTTGCGGTGCTTGAGGTTTTTGTGTCACTTGGGGCACCACATCCCTCTGTGGATGGTGAAGCTGCGGCTGGGGTGGTGTAGGTTCTTGGGCATTTGTTTGGGGAGCTTTGGCAGGTTGGGGTGGTGGTTGCGGTGGCTCTGGCGGGGGTGGCGGAGTCTCATCCGCACTCTCCTCACTTTCCTTCTCGGCATCCTTGTCCTGGCCGTAGCAGTGTCAGGAAGCACTGCATCTTCTGAAGAAGTAGCAGCATTCGCAGCTTCGACTATTCCAAAAGATTTTCCGGGCCTCGTGCAGCCCTTCACCTTCGCTCTTTGCAGCATCGCTATCGGGGGAATGTTCGGCATCCTGAGGAAAAAATTACCCAGCACATTGCAAAGACATCTGATTTTAGGCCTCATCTTCCTCCTCCCTGCGCTTATCCTTCTTGCCCACCTACATTAAACAGCATGCCTACGAACTTGAACTCTGTCTGTCTTGCTCTTGCTACCCTGCCTCTGCAAACGCCTGTGACTGGGCCATGAGCAGCCGCTTCTGCAGCTCCTGGAGCGGAGCCACAAGTGACAGCACTTCGAGCAGCCTTCAGCATTCTAAAAATCCGACTCGACCCTTCTCCTGCCCCCATCCCTCGGTTCTCCTCAGGGTTGAAAGCCTCAACGGCTGGCGCGGCTTCTTTCTCCTCCTCCTCCTTTTTCACCTCCGGCTCCGGCACCTTCTTCTTTGCCTCAAAAGGCCCCAATAAAGAATTTGCTTCAACACGACAAATGGATCTCTTTGACACGTGCCTTGGCAGCTTTTGCCATGTTGGCCATGCTGGCCATGCCAGCCATGAGCCCCATCATTGGGTTCATCATGGGCATCATTGGCATCATCATCGGCATTGCCATCATACCACCACAGGGACATCCACAACAACCACCACAGCAAGGGCCACAACCGCAGCCACAGCCGCATCCACAGCCACCGCAGCAGCCACCACAGCCGCAACCGCCAGTCATTCCGCTGGCTGGAGTGCCCATGCTTCCATCTCCACTTGCACCCATGCTCTCCATACCTTGCGTGCCTTGCATTCAGAGGGCCAGCAAAGTACCTGGCAAGCTGGCAGGTGCTGTCAGGTAGCTTGCGAGTCCCTCGGCACGGGCTGACTAGACGTCCATGTGAGGCTTCTCCGGCTCGTCACGCGAAACAGGCCGTGCACCTGCGCAACATGCAAACTGCCTCAGGCAACATGACAGCAATACTTGGATGCAACACCCGCCTTTTCTCTTGGCAGTCACTCTCAGCCTACCAATTTCTCCTTTGGGCAGAAACAAGCGCCACCTGCTGCTCAAACACTTGACTCTCATGTTGTACACTCACAAGATCTCGTCAAATATCCAGTGCACGCGGCCGTTTCTGGGTTCATGGCAATAATTCGCAGAGGTTTGGCCCCTTCGGGGTCAGGGTGTGAACAAGTTGGAACACAGTGGCATGGCCCATAAATGTTCTCTAAAATGGGATTGCAGGTGCCCTACTTGATAGGCAAGTCGGCATCTGCGATTTGGATTGAGATTTCTAGAGTTTCGCGCCATGCCATGGTTAAGCTTTGCCATAAACCTCTGTGAGGTATTGGGCAAACTGTCCAATTAGGTAACCTAAGCCTTGGACGCTCAGAAAGGTAACACGTTGTACCTGGAGGCGAAACGACACCTCGGCCAGCCGCAACAATGCGCAACAATGATGTCATGCCATATCCCTTTTGATTTTGGTCCCCTGCTGCCTCTTTGAGGCTGCATCCGCCACTTGTTCACTACGTTAGCGACCTGCCAGGCTCATCATGCCCTGAGGGTACATTCGGGAACATAGCCGGGAGATCGCACCTCAAAGAACTCGAGTCTCAAGCTCCAGGGCTTGATCCTAACAGCTTCACAAATTTTGCATTCAAGCTTCACGCGTTTTCGGGCTTTTCTTACCTGGAAAACTTCCGGCCGTTGCACAGCTCGATACATGTCTGGAACTTGCGGCAGCTGCCCAGTGTGCAGTCCTTGATCTTTGCAACGTCTGCTTCCTTCTTCGCAACATCCTTTCCAAGCGCCAGAAGCCAGATTTTTCTAGTCCCCGCCTTGCTTCAGAGCTTGAATGCCTCATCACTGGGAGCGGTCTCTGCCACCCACAAGACTTTCCACTGGTCAAGGTTCTCCGCCATTTGTGAATACACCTTAGGCCAGGAGTTGGTGTTATTTCAAGTAGAGCTTGTTACAAGGTTTTCCTGCGCAGCAGCTGTGAGGCAGCCGCGGGGTGTAGTTCAGGGAAGATCTTCACCTGGGGCTGGACTACTGCACAGGCTCCTATCAGCTGCTGTCGAACTAATTGAACTAGTGAACCAGTGACTTTCAACATCTCTCAGCTTCTTGCTGTTGTGTACACGAGGGGTGCAACAAGGAACTGGATGAAGCCGTGCTGCGAGCCAGGCCTGCAAAGACGATTCGGAAAAGGAAAACCCCTGAATCAGCATTAACAAAGGAAACGTCTCAGACGTCTACCGATTGATCTTGTCGCGGTCATTCAGCATTCCAACGGGAAGGCCAAGACGCTTCTCCTTGAAAGTGGTTCAGCGACAACCAGTGTCAATCGATCCATCTTCTTGTTAGTTACTCCACCGTTGCCTCATCGCCCTGCTCGAAGAACTCATCCAACACCCGCCAAGCCCACTTTTTGCAGATCTGCAGTTCACAACCCATAGCTTCATGTCAATGGCAATGTAGATGCATCTAAGTCCACGACATCAAACGGCTTCAAGGGATTGGACACATCAGCGAAGTGCAAGAAAAGTTCCACCCACTGCATGCAATTTTTCTGCATCACCTGTGAGTTTGCACAGCTTGTGGATCTGAGCACATGAGTTGCTCGATGAGAGTTTCCCCATTGAGACCCACCTGTTCGACATACTGAGGAAGCATGTCCGGATGCCGAGCTTGTGCGTTGCACACTTCTGATGTCATTTCGTAAATCTGCAGCCAGGCGCGTGTTTGGCAAGCGCAACACTCTGACATGGTCTGACCAGTGAATGACCCCTGAAGCTCAGGCCTTGCTGATCTCTCTGACCATCTCGAAGTGATTCGCGTTATCTGTATGGAGGATTGATGCGATGCAAACTCGCCTGGCCGAAGAGATCAACTCGAACGACAAGCAACGTGATAGCTCGCGTCGGTCGTGCCTGGCTTGCTTCTTGTTATCCCTATCCATCGACTTGAAAACGTCGGACTCTTCTTTGGAGGCAATCTCAAAGAGCTTTGCACAGTGCATGTTCTCCAACGGGGACCTTGCCAGCACAAATTTAAGAGCAGCGGTAAAGGCTGCTGTAAACAAAAAAGGCTGTATGCCACAGCTACTTGAGGTTGCAGCTTGTCGTTGTATCGCAGCGCCAGGTCATCCCCAAGCTCTACCTTTGCCGGCGTTCCAACATGCGGCCTCCCAGCCTTGACCTCCGATGTCGAAATGAGAAATCTGAGGGCTGAACCAAGAATGGGTTAGTCCGGCCAGCATGCCCAATGTCATGACAGAGTGCCGCAACCAGGAGTGCATATTGGTCAACACCTGTAGGGTTTTTGCAACGGAAAAGCTGAGAAGCAGCATGCAAACAGCCGGAGATAAGGGCTGGACTGCCGAGCCATTTGCTGGCTGCAGACAAACAGAGCAATCTGTACACTGTGTGTAGAACCTTAGTGAGTCACTGGCGGGGCATGCGTCGAATCAGGCATTGATTTTGCCATGGCTTCTTTCACCAGATTCTGCGCTGATAACCACGCAGCTCTGTGATGAATGAACTGCTGGCCCATCAATGCTTTTTAGTTTAGTGTCTGTACTGGAAAACACCTGAATTGGCCAAAGCCACATCGCAGGCGTGAGCATAGTTGTGGTAAGGCAGGTCATTGTAGCCCGCTTTAACAACCGAGTGAAAACGCTTGAAGGTTGCTGCCTGAACAGGAGGAGCCTACTCGCAGTCAGCAAAGAAAGGAAGTTCGCCAGGTGCAAACCATTTCCACCCGCTATGCGCAAGCCTCTGTCCAGTACCGACCCGTTGTTCGTCCCACAAAGGAGTCGAAGAAAATGTGAAGCGCCACCTGCGCAGTGATTGGAAGGGCATGGCACCATGCAAATGGAAGGCAATGATCTTTCTGGTTGACACCAGCTGCAAACCACGTAGCCCTCGCGCCTTTGTCTGGGCATCTGCATCCATGGACAGAACGTCCAACTCCCAGGATTCCACCGTGTCCCTGCACCCACATCTTCCATCTGGACGCGTCATATTAATAAGATGCATTTGGTTTTGTCGGCCTTGGGACAGGCATCGAAGACACTACGGGCACGTCAGGTAGATCCAGCATTGCGGACATTTCCCCATTTTCTGGACCTGCGTGCAGCGCGCAAAAGGGAGCAGTTCCGAACAACAAAAGAACGAGGGAACATGCAAATACTCCCACAGCCTTCTGACCCTGTCGTGGGCCCCCCTGACACTGCGCCTTGTGAGACAACCCCTGATGAGTCGCTCGATCCGATTCTGGAACAATGACGCTCACGGCTGAGAGCAAAGCTGTTTCGCAGAGAGCTTGAAGCAGCTGCGTCAGTTGTGACTGGTGGCGACACCTTGTCGCAGAGTTCAGCTGATCAGACTATACCAGAGAAGCACCTCGTACACAAAAGAGAACCCACACCAAGTGCTTTGAAGAATTGTAAAAGTCAGGTCGGCATGCATTGAGCCCTAGATTGAACCTGGACATTCATCATGTCCATCATGACTCCCCTGGCGGACTCATCCATGCCTCCGAGCGCAAAATGAGAGATGCATCGTGACCCAGCACCAGCTGAGCTGCTACTGTGAGTTCAAGTTCTCATGGCAAGAGTTGCATGCCACCAGCCTGCCAGCTCTTCAGCCGTGGCTTCGTTGCGCCCGGCCGCGAGGCTCGCCAGACGTGCAAATTTCTTGAAAATGCCCTGAAGAGCCAGGAGACTAAATGCTTGTGCAAGAAGTATGTATCCAAAGTGGCCAGGGCACCTCCAATAACTCTGTTTCCTCCACCTCTTCTTCCCCCTGCTCCTGGCGTGTAGTCAAGTAGTAGATTTGCATTTGCCAAGACAACAACAGCAAAGCCGGTCCATGTCGTCTTCGAGTCCAAACTGCTTCAGCAACTGGGCCGCATTATCTTTGACCACGGATAGCATGCTTTCCTGGCCATCAGCAGATCTGCACAGAAAGCGAGGTGAGACTGGGGCAAACATGGCAAGATTTCCATTGGCTGCACCACCAGCTTGTGAAGCGTTTGGTTCAAATTTGTAGAGACGCCGATCATGAGCAAAATGATGAAAAACGCCAAGGCCTTTTTTGGAAAAGTAATTGTGTATTGTCTTCCAACTTCGCTGCAACAACTCACGGCCATTGCCCCTATAGCGCATGACTGAGTTCAACACCATGTCTTCCGTCACTTCGATCCGTCGAGGACTGTGAAAGTTGAAGTACATGTGCGCGTTCCCTGGACCTCAGGTTAGCCGAGCCCAGAAGTCAGCAGCAGCGATGGCTGTACTTCTGGGTCAACTGCATTCTGGCCGCTCCACCAAACAATGCGGCACCTCAACGAGAGGAACCATGCAGCGAATGCATGCTTGCGGACAAAACTGACTTTCACACAAGCCTGAAGCCACACACTGTCAGGGCACTGAGACACGAAAAACGTCCGACATCTGCATAACGCCAGGCATGTCCACAAGCTCGTCCGCGCCAGGGATGTAAGAGATATTTCCTGATATGTTCACCTGAGGTTTGCAGGTCAGCAGAATGGCGCTTGCTGACAAAATCTGAACACATGTGAAACAACTGCCCAGCGCCTCCTTGTCAAAGCCGTCAATCTCGTACACGAAGTAGTTGACCATCGTATAGAAATCTTTCATCTCCAACACTGAGTCCTGCCATTTGCATGGTTCGTACCTTGCAGAGCCTCTAAGTCAGGATATCCTTGAAGATCGTAGATGTGCTGCCTGCTGGAAGTCCCTGCAACTGATCGTAGGCACGCCTGCTTTTTGCTGACATGGGCAGGGCCGGCAAACAGTCGCAAACAGTTTCACTATGTTTGCCCAGCAGGTGCCGAGGCCGTGACTTGTACTCCGTCTCCAGTCTTTTGGCCCAAAGAAGCATAGACAAATCCTGACGCTACCCACTCGCAAAATTTTCTTCGAACCACACACAATCGCCAAATCCTGCTCTGGGTATTGTCCAATTGTGAACAATGGCACCGCAAGCACCAACAAAATGGTCAGGAACGACACCTGCAGCCATTGGACACGCACAAGTAAAGTGTGCGTGGTGAAAACAACCAGCCTTCGTGGACAGAGTCATCATCAAGCGGGTCGACAGTTTCTTGGCCTCTGCCGGGTTAGATGACCTGACATTCAAGCTGTTTGAGGCTCTAGAGACTCTAGCATATTCTGGCTCCTCATACCTCGTGAGGAGCTTCTGAGCCGCGTGCATGTCCATATTTTTGTCCTTCTCCCTCAAGTAATAGCTCAGACATTTCATAAGCTTGGACAGACGTCCAACCCGAGCACCCACCTCAAAGGAATTTGCAACATCAAACTGCTGTGCTTGAATCAGAGCAAGGAAAACCAGCACGGCATGCGGTCCTTGCCTTGGCTGCCCTTGCTGTGCGCATCAGCATGGCGTCGACTGACCCGTTGGCAGTCTGCATCTTGCCGAAACTTCCAAGGAGCGTCGAGATTTCAAAGATCATTGACGCAGTGCCCAGGGCATCCATCCAAAAGAAGAAGGACCTGATCACACGTTTATGCTTGACTTAAGCTTTCAGTTTTCCACATCCACGCTGAGTGCCACCATCTGCAAGGGAGTGGCAGTGGATAGGTTTTGTAGTCCACGATCCCATTAATGACCATCTCCAACAGGAAAAGGATTGTGACAGCTGTCATCAAGGTGTCGAGGACCAAAATGCCCGGATCGTCAGGCACATCTAAAACAACAAACAGACCCCCTCCAAACAGTGCGAAGATGAGGCAGGCAACCAGCGTCACCCGGAAGACCATGCTTTCTAACACTGGCCTGATCATAAGACCGCAAGCGCTGCATCTAATGACATTTTGAAATATCAACTGCGTGTGGTGAAGATGCGCCTTAACCGGCTGGACCACACCACCATGTTGCGCTTGAATGGTCCCTTCACAGCAAATAACGCATCATCGAAATTGGATACATTGTTAAACGTAAATTTGCAACATCCCACCGCCAACAAAACTCTTGACAGTTGCCTGTTTCTCTGGGATGACGAGAACAACGCCGCCTGCACAAAGTCAATGCCAGTCGCTACGGCACCATACGAGCTTTGTGACTCCAAGAAATCGTGCTCAGGGCAAGACCACCCAAGGAGCGTCTCCTGGCATATGCTCGTTTTAGGATGTCACATGAACACCAGGTTGCACACGTTGGATGTGAAAGGTGTCCTGACGGGACTTGTAGCTGCGTCGTGTTTTTTCTCATCTGTCTCAGAATGGAATGCTTCTGCCTCAGCATTTTTGCGCGAAGTAGCAGCAGCTGTCACTACCTCACACGTGCACGGAATCACCTGGGCTTCCGACTGGCGCAACACTTGCCATCTGCGGGCAATTTCCGGATGAAAGCGGGTGACGAATGCCTACGCATCTGCCCGCGGCCGACTCTCTACTGCCTTCATCCTGAACCAACACGACCACCGGCCATCAGCGGTTTGTCAAGAACCCAAGTCAGGGCTGATCAACACCAATCCTGAAAACTGCACGTCAATGCAAACACCAAGATTCAACAAGATTGGGGGAAAGCTGCAGAACAGGAAGTCTTTCTCGCCAATGGTGTAAAAGGTCGACTGGGTGGTACAATGACAACCAGCAAACGAAATGCGCAAACGCACCCTTTTCACTCTGAATGTTGTAACTCGTAGCTCAGCTCAGCATCTACAGAATGTCCAGAATCTATGGCAA